AAACTCCGTCTCAAAAAAAAAAAAAAAAAAAAAAAGGAAAAACACCAAAAAAAAAAAAAAAAAAAAAAAAAAGTCGGCACGAAAGAGGCCACGACGCGTTGCATCAGAGGCGCCTGGACCACAACAACTCCATCTCTCTGGTACGGGCTGGGTAAAACGAGGCCGAGACCTGCTGGGCTGCATTCCCAGGAGGTCAGGCATTCTTAGTCACAGAAAGAGACAGGAGGTCAGCAGGACTGGTTTCAGGAGATAACACAGTCATGGTCATCATGACCTCACGAATAAAACAGGATGCAATAAACAAGCCGGACGAAACCCACCGCAACCAAGATGGCAGCAACAGTGACCTCTGGTCATCCTCACTGCTCATTATAGGGCAATTATAATGCATTAGCAATGCCAGGCGTTACCCTATGTGATCTAAGAAGGTGAGAAGCCCTCAGTTCCGGAACTACCCGCCCCTGTCCCCTTATTTAGAGCAGCCCCTCTGGCTGCTCTATGCAGCAGCTTTTTTTATTGTTGTTTCTTTACTTCCCTAGTAAACTTGCTTTCACTTTATAAACTCACCCTCAATTCTTTCTTGCACAAGGTCTAAGAACTCTCTCTTGGGGTCTGCATCGGGACCCCTTTCCAGTAATAGTTCCATGAATATAAAGTACAAAAGCAGGTGAAGTTCTAGGGGGAGATGTCAGGATGGGGGTTGCCCCTGGCGGGGGAAGTGGGTAACTGGAGGGGGAGCGAGGTGTCCTGGGGCAGGGAGGGGTGCTACGTACATTCAGCTATTGATCCAGGTGCTGGTCACATGGACACATCCATCTTTTGAAAATTCATTAGTTATGAATTTTGCACTTACGAAGTATGCACTTTTCTGTGTACATGTTAGACTTGAATAAAAATAGTCTTAAAGAATCACACTTTCAACAAGCTTGCTGGTTCACACCTGTAATTCCGGCACTTTGGGAGCCGGAGGCAAGAGAATCACTTTGAGGCCAAGAGCGGGAGGCTGCGGTGAGCCACGGTCACACCACTGCACTCTAGCCTGGGTGACAGAGAGACTCTGTCTCCTAAAAAAAGGAAAATTAACGGCCTGGCGTGGTGGCTCATGACTGTAATCCCAGCACTTTGGGAGGCCGAGGTGGGAGGATCACCTGAGGTCAGGAGTTCAAGACCAGCCTGGCCAACATGGTAAAGCCCTGTTTCTACTAAAAAATAGAAAAATTAGCTGGGTATGGTGGCAGGCAACTGTAATCCCAGCTATTAAGGAGGCTGAGGCAGGGAGAACTGTTTGAAGCTAGGAGGTGGAGGTTGCAGTAAGCCGAGATTGTGCCACTGCACTCCAGCCAGGGTGACAGAGTGAGACACAGCCTCAAAAAAAAAAAGCTAGGTGCAGTGGCTCGCTCCTGCCTGTAATCCCAGCATTTTGAGAGGCCAAGGCAGGCAGATCATGAAGTCAGAAGTTCGAGACCAGCCTGACCAACATGTCTCTACTAAAAATATAAAAATTAGCTGGGCGTGGCGGCAGGCGCCTGTAATCCCAGCTGCTTGGGAGGCTGAGGCAGGAGAATCGCTTGAACCTGGAAGGTGGAGGTTGCAGTGAGCCAAGATCATGCCATTGCACTCCAGCCTGGGCAAGACAGCAACAATCCATCTCAAAAAAAATAAAATTAATTAAAGAATCACACTTTAGGCTGGGCACAGTGGTGCATGCCTGTGATCCCAGCATTTGGGAGGCTGAGGTGGGTGGATCACGAGGTCAAGAGATCGAGACCAGCCTGGCCAACATGGTAAAACCCCGTCTCTACTAAAAGTACAAAAATTAGCCAGGTGTTTGGCAATCGCCTGTAGTCCCAGCTATACTCAGGAGGCTGAGGCGGAAGAGTCGCTTGAACCCGGGAGGCAGAGGTTGCAGTGAGCCAAGACTGCGCCACTGCGCTCCAGCCTGGCAACAGAGCAAGACTCCGTCTCAAAAAAAAAAAAAAAGAATCACACTTTGTCAAATGTTGAAGAACGGTGTTGCTGGCCGGGTATGCTACCCCCGCCACCCCACACACCTTTCCTGGCTGCTACAGAGGAACACACAAGACTCCTTTCATTTATTCAATCAACACTTGCAGGCCAGTGCTGTCCCAGGGCTATGCTCGGTGCCGGGCACCAGGAACTTAAAGGAGAATGGAGCTTCCGCCTCTGATCATGCCACGCACACCCTGGCTCCTGGTACGGACACCTCCCAGACCCACACTCAAGAAATGAGCAGCTGGGCCACGGTGGCTTTTGATCAGATGCCAAGGAGGTGATGTCTGCTTGTCTTCTCCACCACCCCATGAGAAAGTTTACAGGGTTCTTCCGTATGCGGGGCCAAACCCAGCCATTCTGGCACAGCTGTCAGGAGGTCACACTCAGCGATTTGTCTCTGCAGCCATCTCTCCTCCCTCCAGTGCAGGAGATACTGGCACCCCTGGAGATGCCCCGGATGTTCCCCATAGGCTGACATCTCCCAAACTGTCATCTCCTGCCCAAACCTCTCTCTCCATTTGGACATGGGTGCCTACTGTCTTCCTCCCTGCATCTGGGTGTCGAGACTGGT